CTTCTTCTTCTTCTTCTTCTTCTTCTTCTTCTTCTTCTTCTTCTTCTTCTTCTTCTTCTTCTTCTTCTTCTTCTTCTTCCTTTTACATGTCTTGGAAATACTTTTCCACTCGAAATTCTAACTTGAAAATAGGACACGTTCTTATGGTTCAATTTTTCTATTTTTATTTATTTGCTTTCAGAAAATATTTTAATAATAATGATGTGAATGATGACGATATTAACAATAGTAATGATTTATAAAAAGGGTTGAAGTAGCATAAGAAAATAAAACATTATCTAGAGAAAAACAAAAAAAACTTTGTTTCGTTGAATTTAGTCAATTCTACAAAACGATCTGGTTGACGATAGTAAAAAAAACTCATTCTTTGTCTCTCCCTCCTTTCTTTCTTGCCTGGTTTTTCCCTTCTTTTCTTCAAGGGCATTCTTGCAAACGAGGACAGAAAATTTGGGTAGGAATAAACGAGCGTTTATTCATAATGACGGTAACAAAACTTAGCCATCGTCTTCCGGAAATTATTATACTAAGCTACTATTTACAACATTCCTTTGTTTATTATTTCCAAAAAATAATAAAAGAATTATCGAATAGCCAAGGAAAAAATGATGCATATCGCATAAGCTTCCTAATCCGAAAAATGAAACAAACATTTGACTGTTTTTTGTGATAGAACAATTTGACATATCTAGTGGTAGATCATCTATGGTCTATATAGATAGTATCAGTTACAATTATATATATATAAATCATGTATATAAAAATAAAATTAAATATATATGTGTGTATTAGGGGGACCGAAAAGTAATCAAAATTTTTCTTTGCTGGCGAAAAAAAAAACATTTATTTATTAAAGAAATTTTAAATGCTACTCAACATAAAATTTGTTCATCATTTTCTAACACTTTTTGCCTTACGTAAAGGAAATTGTTCAATTCCCTTTTTAAGAAGTTCCTCGATTTTTCATTGACACAAACTAAATGTGAGTGTACTCATCGAAGAAATTTTGATTACTTTTCAGTACCTCTAATATATAATAAAAATAATATATATAGATAGAATTTTCTTCTATCTCTATAAATAAAATAAATAAATCATAATAATTATCGTATGAAGTCACAACAGATATTATTAAATAAATACAAATTTGAATTTGCAAAACGGAAGAAAAGAAAATACTTAAACGATATTAGAATAATGGTACGGAAAAAGGAAACAAATAATTATTCTTTTCTTAACGAAAGAGTAACTAAGTTTTTGTTAAAAAGAAAAATGGGGCGTATTATTTCCACGACACACTCGAGTTTTGAAGGATAAGTATAAGAGGAAATTATGTTTATGGAATAACCGTGTTTTTAAATGGCTAGCGTGCAGAAATAAGTAAGTAAGATATGCTAATGTACGTGTATGCATAGGTTGGCCGTATGCACTCATGCTTAAACAATATGTATTTATATAATAATATACGTGCACATAAAACAGCAAGTTTATGTTGATTCAAGGCGTCACAAAAGATCTTTGCTGGTGCATTTATAATGATCGATACAAGTTACCTCATACGAAAAAAAGTATTATACGGTACAACACAATCATAATTTTGCAATATTCTTTTATTCTTATTATTGTAGAAAAATTGTAACATTACTATGAATTTTTATAATTGTTAAGATTAATATTTATATTTAAAAAAAAATATATTTAAGAAATCTAACGGACTAGATTTCGGAAAAATGCTTTTACTTTCTTTGTCCAACAAGTATCATGTAGGTATCTTCAAACACTCGGAAACTTCTCATCTGAACTATCCAAATGCTTGCACTCGCCTAGACCTACAAACTTGGCAACTTAGGTTGATTGAAACTTTTAGGCGTTCCTAGAGAAAAAGTTACAAGAAAAAGAAAAGAAAGAGAGTGAGAAAATAGAAAGAGCAAAAATAGGTGTAGAATGATGCCTTCAAACTCTTCTCTCTAACTACTTCAGTTGTCGACGTTTGCACCTTTGTTTCATTTCTACAGAAATGAGAAATGGAAGACCACGATGATGCAGACTTTCTCTTTCTCCTCCGTTTGTCTCTGTCTTTCTTTGTCTTCTTGGTTTTATGTCAATTCAACCGAGATAGAATGCAATACATTTATTCTCTTTTGTCTATTAAAAATTATTCAATTAAATGACAAATTATTATTTTTATCATTTTTAATTTTTATTATGATTAATTGATCATATGAAAATCTATACTTTTCTGTATTTTCATCTAACAAAAAGTTTTCTTTCTATTAACAAGATTATTCTTGTAACTTTTTTTGATCTTTTTCCTTTTCTTTCGCATAGAAGTAAGTGCAATCTCTTTGAATTGCACTAAACGTTTCAACGAAAATAGTAGCGATGCACCAGTTGTCAGGAAGTTGCTAATGACTCAGGATTCCTCGTCCTTCCGTCTTTAAATACACGTACAACCGGTTAACATTTTTTTCTTCAACTCTCGTAGACACGAAACCGACAAAGTGAACTATTCAATCGTCGTTAGCAAACTTATTTTCAAGTTTTGACATAAAGTGATACATCTTCTTTTATAAATCTTTTTCAGTTTTTATTCGACAAACTTGAAATTAAAAAAGACGTATTTGTCGATGCAATTTTATTGCCACATGAGATAATAGAAACTAAAATCAATAGAAATTTAAGCTTTCATTAACAATAAATACACATAAAAGCAAATGAACAAACACTGTTTAGTTTAAATAATGAATAGGAATAGAGTAAACACAATAGTGGTATTAAACTAACATCCAGATCGTTTTCCTAATAGGTTGGTAACATTAATAGAGCAAAACGTTGATGATATAAATCACGATCATCGTACAACACCATAAAGATATATCTTTACGAGTAGATTCATTGCAACAAAGCATGATCTGGTTACTCGACGATATTCCACGATACATGAGATACCATTCTAGGGTACTATTATCCAGTAATACGTACATACCTACTATGTAACATAGTAATAGTGTGTGTGAATGTTCGA